AAGTATCAATTCAAGATAGGTCTTGGGCCATATTATTTTCATCGTGGGCCTAGGCCTAGGCCCTGAATAGTATGAACTCTCATGCTTATTTATATTGAAAAGCAAAGCATGATTCTGATCATGTTTACTGCACACTTATAAAATATTTCTGTTTTTGCTATATGATTTTTTTTTACTAAACTAATATAAAAATAAATGAATTCTATTATAATAATAAGAGAGAAAATAAAATTAGTGGGATATAATGGAATCCACTCATTTTGATGTGTTTAGCTAAAAAAAGTTGTATTAAAAACAAAAATAATATATATATATATATATATATATATATATATATATATATATATATATATATATATATGTATGAGATTAATGTGGGACCATGTAAAGGGAAGAAAGAAAAAAAAAAGATCCCCACACAATTTTATGTAGGGGTGCTAAAAGAACCAGATGCCTTTGGCCCGGCTCGTGTAGGATTAGCTTGACTTGTGTGTTTTGATTGTTGAATTCATACTTAAATTTATATAAAATCTTATTTAATAAAGAGGTCTTAAACTCCAATTCAAAAGTCCGGCCTTAAAACTCGTCAGACTAGCATATTAACTCTTTTTTATTTTTTATACTAACTCTTTTTTATTATTATTGGTTAAGCAGACTTCTTGAATGATTTTGTTCTATATTATGTTGTTTAGATATACATTGAATTTATGAATCTTTGTGAAATTATTAGCGTCGTTGATCGTAAATTCTGTTTGGATAAATTTTTATTGTTTTTTTTTTTAACAGACTAAGCCAGACTTTTATTTTTCGTAAATAAGTCAGGTCACAGGTCGATAATTATATTCATAATAAGTTATTGGCTAAGTCAGTCTGACATATTTAAACACAGGCTTAGTCTTTTAAGACTAAAGCCTGACTCGGCCCGACCCATTAACATCCTTATTTTTATGTGTGTTAGGAGATAAAATTATCTCCTATAACATGAGAAATATTAATATTCATATATATATATAGGGTTTGTTTTTTCTAATGTTACTTTAGATAACTTTATCTAATGTTCATCAAAACGACGTCGTTTTGGGACGGATATCATGGTATTTTTGTAATTTTAATTTATTTCAGGGTTATAATAGTCTTTATCACTCTAATTTTTAAATTTTTCAACTCCAAAACGACGTCGTTTCGATGAACATTAAATAAAGTTATCTAAAGTAACATCGGAAACTTTTTTCCCATATATATATATATATGTGTGTGTGTGTCAAAGTAATTTGACACCAAATTTTAACTATTGATTTTCGTCAATCTAATATTAATAATTTATTGAAAATTAATAATTAATTCAGGGAAAATTTCAAAACAACCATGTAACTTTTTTCATAATCATTTACCCCCTCCTCAAAATTTTGAATCATTTATCCCCTTGACTTAAAGTTTCTTTATCACTTACCCCCTTGATAAAGAAACTTTACGTCAGTGGAGTAAGTGATAAAAAAATCTAAAGAACCTTTAGCCATCACTGACCCCCGCACTCCAGATTAGTCTCATAGCCGGCTCAAAGAGTCGAAGCTTGTGGGGATACCGGAGGGAGCCAACTCGCCTCAAAGAGGTAATTAGGGTTGGATAACTCCAAAAAAAAAAAAAAAATCTAAATAAGGGTGTAAATGATTCAAAAATTTTGTGAGGGAGGTAAGTGATAATTAAGAAAACTCATACGAGGTTTTTGAAGTTTTCCCATTAATTAATTAGTACGACCTAATAAATTCTAACCGTTAGATTCACAAAATCAATGGTTAAAATTTAATATCAAACTTTTTAATTTGACATCGGTGTGAAAGGATCATGCCCATATATATATATATATATATATATATATATATATATATATATATATATATATATATATGGGTTTAATGTTTCTACAGTGAATGTGTAGATAAGTTAACTACATTCACTCCCAAAATGACATCGTTTTGAGTTGAAAAATTTAAAAATTATAATGATAAATACTATTATAACCTTGAAATAATTATAATTATAAAAATACCTTAATTTATGTCCAAAACGGCGTTGTTTTGGGCTCAACGCAGATAATTTATCTGCATTCATGTTGAAATCACGGCAAGTGCACCGGTCGTACAAGTAATATAATGTTTAAGTAAAGAATCGTTCCCACAAGGATTATAACTCAATAACAAGTTCACTACTTCGACTTAAGTTGGACAATCGAAATTGGATTTGTAACAAAATTTGATTTGGAATTTAAAATATTCAAGACTAAAAACAAGAAATTAAAGATTTGATTACTGATATAAAAGAAACGTAGCTAGGGTTTCGATTTCCTTCAATTTCTCTATTACGTCTGAATTCCTTCTTTACGTTAATCGTCCTTAATATCAATCCAATCAATTCTTTCTAATGTAATTAGGATTCAATCCCTTGACATCCTAAATTTTTACAATCTTGCAAGAACCCTAGTTCCCCGGTTATTCCCCAAGAAAATAAGCGTTAAGTTCAAGAATCTTAAGACTGCGCAAAACCTTATGTCTATCCCTAGAATCATAAGACTTACGATGAAATTGCCAGATACGGATCATGCACCAACATTCCTATTGTCATACAATTATCTAGGATCAATCTACAAGATTCAAGCTCATAGAAGGCATTAATAAAAGACAATTTCATTCATGAAAAAAGAAAAATTAACGTAAAGAATTATTCAAAGCATAATAAATAAATCAAGTTCTATCTAACCCTAACTACTAAAATGACTTAGCCAGACATGGTGAAATCAAGAAAGAAAAGAATTAGAAAAGCTCCCCGAAATTCCATACTAGAATGAGAATTCTTCAATAACTCCAGTGCAGGTTTGACTCCGATCCGTCTCCGACCTCGAAGAACATGAACTGGGTGTTTCTCCGCGTTCCCTCTGCCACTGGTCACCAAGAATTATCCAAGAATGTGAAAAAAGTTACTAATTCTGCCCCTAATTGTGTTTTTATTAATAAAGAATCTGTGCCTTAGGTGGATACATTGAATGGGCCTAAGTTAGGTCATTCGAGGCGCTTAAGCGCACTCCAATATTATGCATGAAATTTTCACGTGGCGCGCTTAAGCGTGCTGATGGGCGCTTAAGCACCCACTTCGAATCAGGATTTCTTCCTTAGTTCGCGCTTAAGCCTGAATTTGGGGGCTTAAGCGCCCTCAGGCAGTGACTATTTGCTCATAAATGGAATTTTTGGACTTCTTGGGGGCTTAAGCCTCATCTTCAAGAACTTGGTTTTTTTCATTTTTCTTCAGTTGAGATCTTCACATCATCGATTGTTGATCATTAAATCTCCAAGCTTCGTATTTGCTCTCAATTATCATCAAATACCTTCAAAATAAGCAAATATACGTTATTTAATTCATAATCACGTAGTTCATGTTTTTATATCAATAAACCCTAATTTTCATATATTTAACTTGATTTTGCATGTAATTTTAGTCTATAAAACTAGATAAACTAAATTCGCTGCAGAAAAAATCAGCTATATATATGTTGCCCCCTATAAATTAAGTAAAATTATATAAAAACCTCTTTCTCATTATTTTATCACATATCTGTTTGAAGTTTAGCCATTTGTAATCAAAGAATCGTATTCCCAACAAATGAGAGAGAGAGAGAGAGTATAAAAGGAAGTAAGGGGAAAATATAATACAATATCATTTGACCCAAATTTAGTAATATGCTTGCAGTAGACATATTTTTGTTCATTAGCTTGAAATAGTTAATTACATAAGACACAACATAACATAATGTTCTATTATATGCTTCGTGCTTTATAAAAATAAAACAGAACAAGACATGAGGTTAAAAAAGTGATATATCTTAATATAAATAAGGAGAAAAGAGCATAAACTTTTTGTTATATTCACTTCCAAACCTTAATATTGCTACACACAAACTTCACCTATAAACACAAAATTTGAAGTCTCATAATTAATAGGAACTATTTAAAAATATGTTTTTGAAAACCCTCAATTGCACTTTTAGAATTTGTTGTTTTAGTGTACAAAAACATAGTCCTGTTAACTTGTGCTAATTGTCATAAACATCACAAATTTGAAAATCTTTTTCCTTTTTCCCTTTGCAGTAATAAATGTACCAATTTGAATATCACATGCTTTGGACACATTCTTTGGCTCTTTGCTTGTCGTTGCAATCAAAATAAAACAACAAAAACAGAAAGCAGGTAAAAATTCTTGAGTTGAGAGCATCCTTTAATTTTCACTTTAAAGACCATGTGTTTGCTTCCTCCTTTTCATTGTTTTTTTTTATTCTATTATTTCCATTCCTTTTCTTATTGCCACGAGATAATAAGAATCTATTACAGTTTAACATGTTTGAATGGACCAAAGGCCAAAAGTTTCACCGGCCCCACCAAAGAATTCAGTGAAAAAGACTAACATAAGATGCAAGCACCCTTCTTTAACTGGTACCTTTAAATGGTGGAGTTTACTTTACTTTAGGAACTCATGCTTAATCTTTACAATAAACAATAAGAAAAAAAAATATTCTAAAATAATGGTGAACAAACCAAAGCCAAACTTGTTTCTTTTGTGACATAGAGACTTGTACTTGATGTAGTCCTCCAAAGCATGCATGGCTGCTGCTGCTATTGCTACAATATCTTGTCCTTATGTTTCTTTGTGGCTTTTTTAAACTTTAAAGCTATTGTAATTTGCTTTACATGCAAACACTGAAACCATTCCATTGAAATTTGTGACACTATTCTTCTCTCTCTATCTCTCTCCCGCTCCACCCTCTCCTCATAAGTTCAAAAAAAATGTAATGACTCACTAAATTTCAGTTTCAGCAGAAACTGAACAAAGTTTCTTTTTATTCTTTTGAGCTCATTTTCTGTGGGACAAGCTTCATTTTTTCTTTTCCCTCTTTAGCCTCCCAGTTACTCTTCCCCTAACAAATGAATTTGTGCAAGTGAAATTAGGTCTTGCATGCATATTGGAATTATAAGAAGATCAGTGATGCATATGACATCATGTGTCATCATTGTTTGCAAAGTTGCTGAAGCTTGTTGAATTCCCATTTGACTAAGCTTGACCAGGAGGTCTGCCAGAATTTCCAGCTCTCCTGAACCAAATTATGAAATAATATTTTAAGGTAAATCCAATTTTCATTTAGCTGAATAAAATTATAATCTATAGTGGACATTAATCATATCAGAATACCATAGCTTGCCTGTGATAAGAACAAGAATTAAAGGAATGAATACATATGAAATTGTTAGTTTCATATTAAGTCTTACACTTCATATGCATACTTATTGTCTAGTGCTAAAAGCAATAAAGGAAGATTAAAAGAAAGACTACCAAGAAAAGGTTAAAAGTTTCTTAACTGTAGAGAACCGAATGGAATGATAAATAACATTATTATTCATAATTAATTAATAAGTGAATAAAGTGCTTAACCATACTTTTTTTTTTGGTACATACTGTTTAGCCATACTTTAATTAACTCTTCTTTTGATAGCTTTATATATATATAAAAGGACTATGCCTCTTAAAGACCTGAAATCAACAATTCAATCTAACAGTTAAAGCGTGGTAATCAACCCTTATAGTTGGCTTATCTTACTTTTTGTGAAGCTCCATTATAGCAGGAACTAAGAAACTTCAAATTGAGTCTGGAATCTGTAAGATAGGTGTAATATAATGCATTATAGATTGGACAACTAACAAGGTTGCTGTGCTTAGAGTCACAGTATCTTATATGATCTATATATATACCAAACTTAGTATAAGTAATACGGCTAGTTCACGTTTAATATTGGAAGTAATTTAATGTAGTCTTGACAGCAAAAAATGTTAAGGATAAACTCAATCAAAATCCATCAATGAACAGTGAGAAAAAATGAATTATAAAAGACACAGAGAATCACTGTAGCACTGCTTAGCGAGAAAAAAAGTTGGTCAGAGTATGGACTAAGTTTCAACAAGATTTAATGTTGGTTGTTGAATAAGATAAAGATTCCTCATATATTGTCACTCATCATCATCTATTCAATATATAGATAATAAGTATGCCTATGCCAACTCATTTCATAAGATATTCTAGAAACAAATTTTGAATATCTAGCATGTAAAAGCGTTTGAGGTAGTAAGCTAGGACACACCTGTTATGAATTGGATCTGGTCCATTGGGAATTCTTCGTTTGCTCATGTAGTTGAAATCCAACTCTGCATGGTTGAGTGGCTTATCTGAGTTACCTATCACATGCTCCTGCTTGAGCCTTTCTGATGACTCTGTTGATAGTGTAGTTGGATTTGTTGTTCCTACACCACTACCTAAGCTTCCAACAACTAGAAGACAAACAAGACCTACCAAGAGTGTTCCAAGGAAGAACCTTGGAAGGAAATAACTACTAAAAGTACCCATATGCAATTTTTTTTCCCCCTGGTTATATGTATATATAAAAATATATATTTATCTCATAGGATGAAGGAGATGATAAAGAAAACTGAAAAGCCTATCATTGCATGATGACTGTTGTGAGATTGGGTTTATAAGAAGACAAGAGAAGAAGAGAATAGGAGAGGAGGGAGGGTGGTCTAAGACAAGATTTTTTTACCTCAAAGGTTAAGGGTGTGGTTGGTTTTCTTTATAGTAAGAGGGTTGCTGTTTCACTTTAGAGTAAGAGAGAGAGAGCTTAGCTGGTTCCAAGTTTGGAATGGAACACTTTGCTTTATATTGAGAAGGTCCCAATACGACACTCTTTTTTTGCTTTGATTTGTGTATTTCCATCCAACTACGGTACCAAGAGATAACTCCTTATATATGCTATCATACTGTAGAAATACAATGGTGTAAAGAGAATATAAGAGGTTGCCTTGCCTATAGACTATAGTGTTGTACTCTGAATGTCATACTTTGAATGACTACTGAGTACCTAGAATAAAATTCACTGCATTATTTGTGATGACTGCTAAGAATATTTAGTTTGTAGATCCTTAAATGCCAACCAATGTCATTCTCCCATATAAATACAATATACAGTAACATAAAGTCTTCTGAATGAAGAAATTGAAAGGGAAGATTCCTACATCCCAAATCAGCAAGTTCTGTCTCTCCTGTTTCTCAATGTGCTGAATTTTTCTTTTTTCTCTTAAAACAGTTTTTTTATGGTTTTATGTAGGGGTGTGCAAAATAACTAAAAAATTGGACCGAACCATGAACCGAACCAAACCGCCCCATAAAATAACTAGTTTTTAAAAACCAATTCATGAACCGATCCGGTTTTTAAAGAACCAGTTCATGAACTGAACCGGTTTTTAGAACCGGTTTAAGAACCGAACCGTTTCCGAACCGAACCGAACCGTACCGTACCATTTTCAAAACGAACCAAATTAATTTTTATAACTTTATTTTTTAAATTTTTTAATTTTTTTCTTTTCAAAAGAGGGTCGACCCGAACCGATTCCGAACCACTTCCGAACCGAACCATTTAAACCAATTTGGTTCGGTTTTTTAAAAAAACTGGTTTGGTTCGACCCATGCACATCCTTAGTTTTATGGCTTTTGTTTTTGCTCATGTTATTCTAATATAAATTTGATATTCATTGCATGATAAGCATCTAAAGTAAATTATTTGGTAGTCTATTTGGCATTATGATTCTCAAGCCCTGCTTTTTTTTTTTTTCCAAGTGTTCTAGATCAGAATCTCATTCTAGGCCCAATAAGGTAGGTGTTCACCATTCCAAGAACACAATTTCATACCATTCAATATATCCATAAATTCATACAAAATAACAAATATAATAATTTACAGGTTTGAAGTGCAGACACCTTGATAAGCATTGAGAAATTGGATATCAGTCTTCAACAATGAACTTTAACTCTTAAGATGGATAATTTAGTGTGTGTTTCCTGTTCTACGGATAACAACGAAGAACATGATGCCTAGAGTGATTATTAGATCAGTTACACGAGACATTATAATTATATAATGAAGCAATTTTTTCCACTAAAAACTGATACATTTCCAAAAGTCACACCGCTAGGGTTTTGTTGAGTGGGCTTTTGTTCCATAAATGAATAACATATGACACATATTAAATGGATTATTTAGCGGACTTATAGAGCCCAAATAAACTAACAGAGTCTCTGCATGGGGTGAGAATCTTGGAGTATTAGATTCTTCGCTTGTAGCTTATATCTTGTGAGATTCATTTCAAAAATAACTAAGCTCATCTTAAATAAGATTTATGAAAATCCTTCCCCTAATAATCCAAACATACTAGAAGGCAATTTACGTAATCTTTTTCCACAATCCTGCACTACATAAGGAACTCTCAGAACCATGAATTCTCTCTTACTTAAGCATCGAAGTGCCTCCTCTTCTGTTTAACTATTGTCACCAACATCCTTCCAAAAGATTCAGAAAACCTAGCATAAAAATATCAGGTCATCAACCATCCAACTTAGTCCATGTCCCGGACAAATCATCAACTGAACACTTCTTCATCAAGTATACTGCCATTGGGAGTGTGTGTGCTTTAATAATATCTTGTGACTGCAAATTATATACTTTTTATTGTACTCTGATTCCTTGAACTTAAGGGGTATCAGTGGAAAGAATCTCTACCCTAAATTGAATAGTAAAGATATGAACATATATATGCATTTGAGAAATAGAATAGATTACAAACCGAAGCTGGTTCCTTTCAATAAGGCTTGTGATTAAGGGAATATATATAGCACGCCACATATCTTACTATTCCTTAACTCCAAAGGGTATGGCACATTTTGTCTTATCCATTCTACCTGAATTCACAGTAACCAAAAATCTAAAGTGATTTTTGTTGGAGAATCCAATGCTTTTTACTGTAATAGCTTCACCCTGAAGGTACATGGAAAACTTATTCATAGCTGCAAGCATATATTACTCTTATGTAGCTTTAGGAATTGATGCCTTGCCTAATGGCACTTTAGAGGTGGAATATTACACATGTTTTGAAACTTGACAGTGATTTATACCTGCGGATATCTACAAAGTTGATCAATTTGAGTTATTAGGGGGAGGGTCTGAGGCATGCCATCTTAAGCTCATTTGTCCATTGCAGAGAACTTTTTGGACCTATCTATAGCAGTGTGCTTTGCACATACATTTTATTAGTATTAGCTTAAAAAAAAGTATTCATCTAGGGCTGGGCATATAAGATGTATATGGATTTAGTATTTATGCATTAGTATTAATAAAATATTATTAACTTATGAATTAGGAGATGTGCAAATGCTACGCTTACTAGCTAATTTATGAGTTAGCCTTTTCACTTAATCAAATGGTTGTAAAACAATATATACTTAGATTCTAGATTAGACAAAACAATCATTTGGAATTAGAAACCAATTAAGTCAAACCCAATTTTCAATGGACCAAATCATACATTTTGCAAAGCCCTGTATACGAATCTTTTGGTATCTGTAAGTCTTAGGAGAACTTGACCCCGGGTGTCACCGTAGGTATGTTGGTCTATAGGATAAGGTATGCAGATGTAACTTATTCTGTGTACTAATTTCTGTGGTGCATAAGTCTAGAAGAGCTACGCTCATCTCCTCTTCATATATCTACCTGTATTCTTTAGTACATTATCTTCTCTAAGCAAATAGGTATGTTCTCAACTAGCTTTATATAACTGGTATCTGTATAGGTATATTCCCCTTATTCATGTAACATATTTTGTGCATAGGTTGTAGCATGGTTTGAAAGGAATATGGAAAATATATATAAAAAATTAAGATTAAGAAACAAAGAAGAACCTGACCAATAATGAGTTTACAATGAAGTGTAAAGCATCAGTATAAGAAAGTTTTATTGTATAGTTATTTTGTTAATTAGTCCTAAGTCCTAACCAAGACTATATATAACCATCAAATCAAACAGTTGAAGCAGGTAGTGTAACTAAAACATGATAATGCTTCTTTGGAAGAGAACCTATCCTGTAAATGGCTAATGGTAGATATTAAATGCAGAGCCCAGTGGAAGTGAAAAGATAATTTGTATGTTAATAGATTTTCTGTATCTTTGTAGATTTGTTATGAAAAAACTAATCACTTTTATTTTGTTATCTTTATCCAAATGATTGACACTACTGAGTGGTAACCATTGCTTTTGTCTTGAAACTTTGGATTCGACATATGGAACAAAGCATCCAGCTTCATACTTTCATTTTTGTGCAGGAATCTTTATAATTTATCTTATAATTAGATTTCTGCATTTGAATTTTGAACATGTCAATATTTCTGTTAGAGAATAATATAATTCATTAAAAAAGTCATCACCCATCAACTTAAGCTTTTAGATTGAATTAGTTCTTTACATAGCATCATAGCTTCATATCACGAGCTTGATCCTCATTGCCCCCTATTTAATTAATAATTAATTTAGTATTGTGGAGTTTCTTAGGACAGGTAAGTGGGCATGTACACTGTCTACCCTTTAAGTCCAGTGGACTCTTGTGAGAGGAGAGACGTGTTAGAGAATAGTATAAACCGTTAATGTAGCCCCACCCAAAAGCTTAAGCTGTTGAGTGAGGCTACCTTAATAGTTTTATCTAATACGCTCTCTCACACGATAACCCAATGTAGCCTTACCCTACATTTGAGTATTCTGTAAAGAACCAATTCAACACAAAAATGTTATACGAGACTATATTAATAATTTTATATTATATTTCTTTATCATGCTTAAAAAGAATGAACAAAATCTCCATTTGTTAAGAGCTATGCGAAACTCAAGAGAAATGTATCTGGCTTGGCATGTCGTAGGTAACTTGTCTAAAGATCTCCATTTACTATGAATAGGCTAACACCAACTATGGACCTCCATCATCTACTCAAAACAATCTCAATTTATATGGGTCTTATCTATGTCTTGGGGAGTAATACCTCAATAATGTTGCAAGTACTTTTTACTACTCTTACTAGGGATACATCTCTCTGCTTTTGGGGCAGAAAGAGGGAAGAAATGAAAGGAGGATTGTTTGTGTTTTACAATGTGTTAAAAGCACAATACAACCATATGCAGACTTAAAAAATAAACCAATTTTCATTAAACTTCTATTAGCGAATGTGGGGTGAGAATAATCTTATAAGGAGTCTTATTCTTACATATTTACAAAGAGATTGTTTTCCGGACTCGAACTCATGAATTATAAAGGGTTAATAAAGCAAAATAAAGGATACAAAATTTACCCTGCATGAATCTCTTCTTGTTTTCTGGATTCGTACACAACTACTTTGCCAAATGTTCCCCTTTAAGTTAGATATGATTAATAATTGTGTCCTGAGACTCAGAATCAGTGATCTGACATGAGTTGCATATAAAAGGAGCCACCATGAACTCCATTCTATGATTCTTTACTATAGGAACCATCAGA